GATATTGATGCGTAGTCTTTACTCATAAAATTTTTTGTTTTAATTGCAGACAAGTTATTTAGCAACACCCCAAAATTGGACAAAAATGCCTAGAAATTCTTTATTTTGTTTTACAATTTGCATATTTTTGCTTAGGATCAAATAAAGGCAGAGGGTAACAAAAAGTTTTTTGAGCAACTTTCGTCACAAAAAGCAACTTTTGACTTTTTTTCGAGCAACGTTTAAACAACTTTTTGAGAAGTTACAGGAAAATTGTGGAAAGCCCTTTTTGAATAACATGGTGATTTCTCAAACTTTTAAAATTCAAAAGTGATTTTTTTTTCAGAGAGTACTTTAATTTACAGTTTTTCAGAATGACAATTTCAATGTCTCCATTTAAAAATAGAAAAAGAATAGAAAGAAAGATGCAAATATGTATTATTCACTTGGTTTGCATCGCATCATCATAATCTGTCATTCAAAAGTGTGCCAAGCTCAAGAACTCCCTTGATTGCTTCTTACAGATCAACGTCTTCTTTCAGATTCATGTATGCTAGATAGCGGGTGTGTATAAGAGCCAGTGAAGAGAGCCTCTCTTGCGCCGCAAATACTACTTTTTGGCCACAGAAAACACCAGAAATTTTAAGCTATCCTCAAAGACAAAGGGTCACGCAAAAAATGATCAAAACATATCTTCACCTCCTTCAAACATAGGAGGATCTCATATCGACCCGTTGTAAAATGGCTATTAAGCAGTCGCTTGGAAAACGAGACTTTCTGATCCTTGATACTGCCTGATAAATGTGTAAAATCAACTTTAAGCCAGTCAAAACGGTTGTACTGCTCCCTCCACCAAAACGAAACAAGTTAAAAGTGATGTTGCTCCCTAGCTGGAAACTTTCACAATTACAGCGAAAAGAGAAATAATAGCATCATCGCGCTCCAGTTTTAAGACTTGCATTATTCTAATTTACATGAAAGGGTTTGAAGGTTGAGGCTCGTTTCAAACGTCGTGCTACTGCCGTGCCGAACTAAATTGATCGAATTAAATTCGACTTTAGCACGGCAGTTGCGCGACGTTTGAAACCAAGTCGTGCTGCACGGCCGTAGCTCGACGTCTTCAAACGTCGTGCTGCCGCCGTGCCGAGCTCAATTCATAAATGATAAATACATAAAAATACATTTAAATGTTCTCTAGACTGTTTCTTTATTTTTGTGTTTTGTTTTCGGCAAAGGGCGTTCTGTTCGACTGTGATTAAATTCGACGTCTGAAACCAAGTTGTGCTAGTGTCGTGCTGTAGTCGAGCTTCAGCCGAGCCAGCTTAGCACGACAGTAGCACGACGTTTGAAACAGGTCTGTTGACCGAGTGGCAGTGCAATTTTCTCTACTACAAGGTTAGAGTATAGCTTTAAAAGGAGCTTCAATATCCCGCAAGCAACGCTAAAGAGATGTGTCCAGCCTGTCAAAACGATACCGGGAAACCTCTTACTTACTGTTATACTAAAAATTCAGATCCAACACTTTGCAGGAAACTATGGAGACAACGCCTATATAAAGGATAATCCTAAAAGCCACTTTTGAAAATTAAATAAGAAAGGAAAACACTAGCATCTTCAGCTAGCGATCAGAGGTCAATTTTTGATGGAGCAAAGACAAGAATCCACAGGCAGACACTGTACATGACCTCCCAGTGAAAGAAATTAAGGGGTGTCTGTAAAACGTGGACCGGATACCTGCGGATGGCGGATGCGGATGGGAACATGCGGATAGAAAAATGCGGATGGAAAAAAAAATGCGGATAGCAAAAAAAGTAAGAAGGAAAAAAAAACAAGAAATGTGGATGCCAAAAAAAAAAATAAAAAAACAAACAATTAAGGAAAGAAATCTTTCTTTCAAGTCGCTGTCACATGGTTGGACCCTTCACTTACATACAGAACGTGATGCCAATAGTTGACACAGTTACTTTGTACCCTGTAATTCCTTTCATTAATGTCACAGAAATAAGGACGCTCCGTTCCTCCTCATTAAATGCACACATACTTGGTGCACTTCTCCTTTGAGTGTTTAGCTTAGTCCATTAGGAATTTCATTATTATCAAGAAAAGAAGGGGAGGCATGATTTCTTTGCTCTCACTGGATATAGTGTACTCCACTCACAGAAAGAATATTCTCAGGGCAATCAAATCAAGACTTATTTGTTTGAGCGGCTCAAGACAGAAAAAATTGCAGTATCAATTAGAAAAATGCCGAACGTTCCGATTTGGCAGATGCCAATCAACTCCGCCTGATCCGCCTATCATGTGGATTTATTTTTTACAAGTTCTACCCTTTGGGAATTTATAAGTGCACGAATAATGCGTTCGAATTTTTAAA